TGGAAAGAGATGAGCTTTAAGGTCCCTTTAGATCTTTAAGGTCTTAGATTAAATCAAGGTACTCTTCATTCTCTCTAAAAATCAGGCAATGAAAGCGATGYWTTACTTTTATCTTTCCATGTGGYGGACAAGAGGCTCCAAATGCCACCRAGGYTGCWCTAGTTACTGTGTTCRAACAAGCTTCACTAGCRCCCAACCCTCTGAGCACACACAGAAGGACGCTGAAAATAGCAGGGGCACTGCACTGGCTACTTGTTTGCTACCTCTGTCTTCTCACATCGATCTCTCGCAGGTACTCCTGCACGGTTTCTCGGACCTTCCTCTCGGCAGCCCGGTGCATCCATTTCTCCTCACGACTCTTGTGCCACTCACGGATGTTGCGGCGACGTTCTAATAATTTCATGTCTCGATCTTCCTCATCCCAATCTATCTCCCGCTCCCTGTCAGCCAAAATCTTCCTTTCGGTGGCGTGTCTCTTGGASGGCTTGGCTATCTGCAAGAGAAAGGAAAAGGAGAAAGCATGGAGACCTCACAGCAACTTCTCAGGGGCCTACAGTGAATCCAGACAGGGACTCTTTATCAGGCACTGTRGTGACAGGACAAGGAGTAACAGGTACCAAGTGAAAGAGGGAAAATTTAGGCTAGATGTAGGAAGGAAWTCTTGTTTGTAAGGGTGGTGAGGCACCAGCACTAATTTTCCTGAGAAGTTGCAGTTGCCCCTGGATCCCTGGGAGTGTCCAAGGCCAGGTTGGACAGGGCTTGGACCAGCCTGGGACAGTGGATGGCGTCCCTGCCCATGGCAGGGGAGGCACTGGAAGAGCTTTAAGATTCCTTGTAATATAAAGCATTACGTGGTTCTATGTAATGCCACTGGTGGAAAGATAAACAGTTAATCTGGGTGGTTTTCAGTTGAATTCATGACCATGCAAGWACCTAACACCAAATGAAAAGCTCASGGTAATTAGGGYGTAATCATAGAATCACTGAGGCTGGAAAAGAGCTCCAGGATCATCCAGATTCCAACCTGTGACCAATCCCCACCTTGTCCCCAGCCCAGAGCACTGAGAGTGCCACGTTCTGGCCTTCCTTGGACACCTTCAGGGATGGGGGCTCCAAACCTCCCTAGGCAGCCCCTGCCAAAGCCTGACCACCTCTTCTGTGAAGAAATCCCTCCTAAATTAGACAAGCCTTACCTACACCCCACCCCAGAGAGCACCGGGCTCCCCGGCACCCCTCACATAGCACTGGGCTCCTTGGGGACCCCAGGCACGGTACCGGCTCCCCACCACCCCTCACACAGCACTGAGCGCCCCGGGACCTCTCCCGGCTGCTCCCAGAGGGTCCAGCCCCACCCGGCCCCGCTCTGGAGCTCCGGCCCCCACGTCCCCGCAGCTCCTCGGAGCGGAGCGGCCCCGGCGCGGAGCGGCCCCTCACCAAGGCGAAGTTGTGCGGCGCAATGCCCGGAACCTCCCGGCATCTCTGGAAATGAGAACGGTGAGGGGGCTGGTGCTGGGGCTGGGGCTGGGGCTGNGGTGACCGAGATGACGGGGGAGCTGAGCAGTGTCCGGGGATGGCGGGGAGCTCAGGGGTGACTGAGATGACGGGGCGGTCAGGGTTGTCCGGGGATGGCGGGGGCGCTGAGGGTGTCCGGGGATGGCGGAGAGCTCAGGGATGTCAGAGGATGGCGGAGAGCTGAGGGGTGTCCGAGGATGGCGGGGAGCTCAGAGGTGTCCGGGCATGGTGGGGAGCTGAGGGTGACCGGGTATGGCGGCGGGGGAGCTGAGGGGTGACAGGGATGACGGGGAGCTGAGCAGTGTCCGGGGATAGTGGGGACCTCAGGAGTGACCGAGATAACGGGGCGCTCAGGGGTGTCTGAGGATGGCGGGGGAGCTGAGGGGTGTCCGGGGAAGGCGAAGAAGCTGAGGGGTGTTCGGGGATGGCGGGGGCCCTGCGGGTGTCCGGGGATGGTGGGGTAGCTGAAGGGTGTCCGGGGATGGCGGGGGCACTGAGGGTGTCCAGGGATAGCGGGGTAGCTGAAGGGTGTCCGGGGATGGCAGGGGCCCTGAGGGTGTCCGGGGATATCGGGGTGCTCAGGGGTGTCCTGGAGTTGCAGAACCGTCACGGTTGGGAGCGACCCTCCGGATCACCCAGCGCTACAGCTCCAGCTCCGAACACCCCGCACCACAGCATCCCCCCGGAGCCCGGTGCCTCCTGAGCACCGCTGGGACAGCGGCTCCGCTGCCTTTCTGGGCAGCCCGTGCCAGTCCTGGCTGCCCGCGTGGCAAAATGTGGAATGCAGAAAAGCTTCTTAAGAAGGGATGTTCTTTAGTCGTAGAATCATAAAATAGCCTGAGTTGGAAGGAAGCCACAAGGAGCTCAATCCCCACCGTGCACAAAGTCAGGGACCCCCAGAGAACAGCCCCATGTTGCCAGTGCTGGGACATCAGTGGGGACAGGCTGGCACAGGAATGAAAAGAGTTTAGGGTAATGAGTCTTATCCTATGGAGCCAGGCTGGGAGAGCTGGGAGTGCTCACCTGGACAAGAGAAGGCTCCAGGGAGAGCTCAGAGCCCCTTTTGGGGCCTAAAGGGGCTCCAGGAGAGCTGCACAGGGACTGGGGACAAGGGCTGCAGGGACAGGACACAGGGAATGGCTTGGCAGTGCCAGAGGGCAGGGATGGATGGGATATTGGGAAGGAATTGCTGGCTGGGAGGGTGGGCAGGCCCTGGCACAGGGTGCCCAGNTAGAATCATAAAATAGCCTGAGTTGGAAGGAAGCCACAAGGGGCTCAATCTCTATCGTGCACAAAGTCAGGGACCCCCAGAGAGCAGCCCCATGTGCCAGTGCTGGGACATCAGTGGGGACAGGCTGGCACAGGAATGAAGAATTTAGGGTAATGAGTCTTATACTATGGAGCCAGGCTGGGAGAGCTGGGGGTGCTCACCTGGACAAGAGAAGGCTCCAGGGAGAGCTCAGAGCCCCTTTTGGGGCCTAAAGGGGCTCCAGGAGAGCTGCACAGGGACTGGGGACAAGGGCTGCAGGGACAGGACACAGGGAATGGCTTGGCAGTGCCAGAGGGCAGGGATGGATGGGATATTGGGAAGGAATTGCTGGCTGGGAGGGTGGGGAGGCCGTGGCACAGGGTGCCCAGAGCAGCTGTGGCTGCCCCTGGATCCCTGGCAGTGTCCAAGGCCAGGCTGGACATTGGGGCTGGGAGCAGCCTGGGACAGTGGAAGCTGTCCCTGACCATGGCACGGGGTGGCACTGGATGAGCTCTCAGGTCCCTCCCAACCAAACCTTTCTGTGACTGTGAAATAAAAATCGAGTTAATAATGAGAATGGGTTGTTCTGTGCCTGCAGGTGGTGGAGTTGTGTGAACCCCCAGCTCCCCAGTCAGGACTGCCACAGAGACCTCYCGCAGCACATCCTGCTAATGCCAGGCTCCAGACCTGCCCAGGCTGGAGGAAAACGGGAAGTAAAACATTGGCTGTGGATCAGCAATTGCTTCAAGCTCAGTGCCCTCAAAGGAGTCACAGGAAAAAGCTTTTGCTGAAGCTTTGAAGCTCTGGAACACACACTGCCAAGAATTTTGTTTTCTTGCACATAATCATATTAGGTTGGCTGATAACCAGTTTAAAAAAATTATCCCAGGGAGGAAAGGTGAATGTTTAACCTGGCTGTAAAGCTTGTTCTTATCCAATTAAACCCCAGTGCAGTTACTTCTGGTGTCAGCAGTGGGATCCTKGCACAGCCACACACAGCAGTTTGATACATAGAATTTACACCACCACGTGGTGGTGGAGCTGGAAGTTTTGGGTTTATTTCATTAGAGACTTAATTCTGTCATACTATTGTGACTTAGTGTTCGAGATGTTTGGGTGAGGGGAACAACTTCACATCACTTTCCCCCTGAAAACTTTCGTTTCAGTGGAGGAAGGGCTGAATTTCTTGGTATTGTATAGTTTTGCCTAGTATTTTATGGTGTGTTTAGTGGCAAATGTTGTCTTAGTCTTAACACCTACACAAAACCAGAGATGAGTTTTATGCTCATTATGCTGTAATAGTGTACAAATGTGCAGCACTGCCATCTGTTTGAAACCTAAAAATAAACAGGGATGTGTGGATCCTCTAAACCCCCTATTTTTCTGTGAAGTCCCTCCACCAGCTCTGAGAATATTTTCTCCTGAAAAAGCTGGATTTATTCCAAAGATTCTGCAGATGGCTTGTGACTTTATTTCACATWAATGCTATCTGAAACAACAGACTCTCCTGAACTTAGGTGCCTAAGAGGATYCTGGTCACTGGGTGTCCTCACTGGGAATATATACAGGATATAAGATACAGGCTGTATAGGGTCTGGAGACAGAGAGATTATATAGGATATACATGTGGGATATGGTCTGTCCTGGATTTGCTGGTTTGAATTCTCCTTTCTAAAACCTCTGAAGTTTTTAGAATCCCAGGATAGTTTGCATTGGAAGGGACCTTGGACCACATCCAGTTCCAGCCCCTCTGCATGGGCAGGGACACCTTCCGTTATCCCAGGCTGCTCTAAGCCCTGTCCACCCTGGCCTTGGACACCAGTGATGAGGTAGTCACACCTTCCAGGAAAACCACAACTTTCCAGGAAAACCACAACTTTCCAGGAAAAAGCTTCATTTGACACTCAGGTACCAAGAAGTCAGAGCAGTGCATGCAGGCTGAGGTTTTGGAGCGTGGAGCAGGACACAGCAAGCGCTTGGGTCAGCTCTGCTGTCCCTCATCCCTTCAGACAGCAGCAGTGAGACAGCACAYGTGGAGCCAGACCCCAGACACAGGGCGATGCAGCTCCATGGGTGGGACCTGCCTTGGCTCAGGAATGTGGATGTCAGGAGGAGGAAGGGCTGGGAAGGTGTGGAGGAAGGACGGCACATGCTGATGGATGGAGAAACTTGGCAAACCRGAGCCCGTTTTCAGGAGAAAAATGTGTGGTGGCAAAACCTGGCAAGGACAGTAGGGCCTTTCTGTTCTTCAAGGAAGTATGAGACATTGATTGGTATCAACTGGTGAACAATTCCCTCTTTGTACWAAAGAAACCTTCAACTTCTTTCTCTAGAAGGAAAATCAACTTGGTTTAAARGAACCAAAGCCCTCCCCACCCCTCATAAAATTTTCCCAACAATAGCTGCCTGTTCTCTTCATGTGGGATTGTGGTGGCTCCATGAGCCAGTGCTTGGGCGCACCAGGCCCCTTCCTTCTGTGGGATCAAATGTCCTGTGCTGCAAATGCCCCTGGCTTCCCAGGCTGGGGATTTCAGAAGTTGCCATTTCATCTTAGCTCTGAATCCCCCTGGGGTTTCCTCACTGGTCACACTCCACATCATATCAGGTTCCTTCCGCCAGACTTTCTTGTGATCCTTCCTCTGGGCAATCTTCAAAATACATGCTTAGGGAAACCATGACTCTTGGCTTTTTGTATCTTTTTGGTTACTTTTATTCAGAGGGKTTTTTTTGAGGGATTTCCTGTTTGCTCAGATCCACATGACTGGCTGAGTCAGGACCAGCCAAGTCACATAAATATGCCTACAGGGACACACTTTGCATGGTAGCAGAGCTCAGAACTTCTACTAACGTATTTTAAAAATGTAAGTTAAATATAAATCTTTTCCTTCCGCTGTGGGTCACAGCAGTACCTGTCAGCTGGCACCACGTGCTGTGGCACAGAGCCACATAGGCCCGGSTGTGGCAGGAATTGCAGAACCTGGAATGGCTGGCGTTGGAAGGGCCTCGAAGCTCATCCAGTGCCACCCCTGCCATGGGCAGGGACATCTCCCACTGTCCCAGGCTGCTCCCAGCCCCARTGTCCAGCCTGGCCTTGGACACTGCCAGGGATCCAGGGGCAGCCACAGCTGYTCTGGGCACCCTGTGCCAGGGCCTCCCCACCCTCCCAGCCAGCAATTCCTTCCCAATATCCCATCCATCCCTGCCCTCTGGCACTGCCAAGCCATTCCCTGTGTCCTGTCCCTGCAGCCCTTGTCCCCAGTCCCTGTGCAGCTCTCCTGGAGCCCCTTTAGGCCCCAAAAGGGGCTCTGAGCTCTCCCTGGAGCCTTCTCTTGTCCAGGTGAGCACCCCCAGCTCTCCCAGCCTGGCTCCAGAGCAGAGGGGCTCCAGCCCTGGCAGCATCTCCGTGCCCTCCTCTGGCCTGGCTGCAGCAGCTCCAGGTCCTTCTTACGCTTGGACCTTCAACATACACACACAGTTTTCATGTGTCTCATGCAGTTTCCCCTGAATASAGCCTCACATCTTGATTGTCATGTCTCAGTGTTATGATTAATTTAAATTTATTCTGGCATTAAGTTCTGCAGCTCAAGAGACCCACAGATGTTTCATCATGGAGCTTTAAAGCRMCATTGRYTCTTAYCATTYGTGCATCTGTGACAYAGCACGTGTTTCTGTTTCGTCAYRTACCTCCACATGGAATTCATGGCARCAAGATGCAAGTTTCTAGCATTGGCACAAAAATTCAGGTAGTTCTTWATATCTGTTTGACTCTGAGCTTCATAGGAGTGCTGGGAGTTCAGTCGGAGGTTGAAAAGAGCTCTGTGAAGCTTCTGAGTGAATCAAATAGGCAGCTGATGGGACAGGTCTGCATTTGGCTTTGGCTGGCAATGTCAGCTGCATGCCATGGGTCCTGTTTGGTCACTGTGATCCAGATATGGAAGTGCAAAGATCAGAGTCCTCCCCCAACTATGTCTGAGCCAGGCACCATCAGACAAATGCTCTATTTTACCCCAAATCCGCACTGTGGAAGGGGGTGGGAGGGAGGATCAGCTGCTCTCCACCCACGGGCAAGGAGRGAAGATATTTTTCTTCCTTTCTCTCAGCCTTGAAAGAGCAAAGTGTAACCACAGAAAGGGAAYATGGTGTGAGTGAGAGGTGAATAATTCCAGCATGATTAGGACAGTGYAAAGCCCACTAGTGGATTTACAGTTTTATTTCTATAAAGCTGCCTTTGGTCCTTCCCTACCTTCCAGAGGTGGCCCAAGAGCTGATCCACCTCATCAAATTTCTCCTTATCCTCCCTACTGCTCCACATCTGTATCTTATAACTAGAAGGGGATATCACAGAGAAGCTCACCTCACATCCTTTGGTGGTTGTGATTTCACCAGCTGCATCTTGCCTGGCTGCTCTCAGTCACCAGCTCAGCAAGTGGGTGATACAAGCCGTGAAGTCAAAATTCCCCTCGCAGCAAATCAGGGTCCCTGGAGCAGAGCAGAGCATCAGGCTCCAGCTCCCTGCAGGCACAGCTCCAGGGCTGSTGCAGGTTACCTGTGCAGAGTGCTGAGGTGTGCCAGAAACCAGAATTCCAAGCTAGTGGCACGCATCATTGCACATGAACACTCCAGAGAATACTGCTGCCCRTGCAGAGTCCTTCCCTTCCTAATCYAACACCCAGCTGGGACAATTTCCCTACTGCAAGAATGTATTTGTTGCCGGGAAACACTTTTTTTTCATGCCTGAGACAAGAACTGAGTGCGTAACCCAGCTGGAGTGTTTAAAGAGGAACTGAAAGTATTTGAGCTCAGTTTTTCAAACTTGGCTATCAGCTAATTTTATGATGTCAATGAAAGAATTTCTTGTACTTTTTAGCTAGAAGGCAATCTCTCCTGACTGTAAATTTTCCTTCCTGTTATTTTACGTGACTCTTTTCAACAGATCCAAATGCTTCCAAGAAATAAGGTCATGTACTATAAAGATGCTTCTGCATCATCCTCACGTGCCAATCATGGGAGACTGATTTTCTGTCCTCTTTGCAGTGGGGGACACCAAAATGTCCAGCACAATCAGCAGCTGGCACGGCACAAAGTACTAAAGTCAGTGGGAGAATGGAGAAAGAACAGGTTACACAGARGTTTAGAAACGGATGGTTCTCAAATGAACTTGGTGTGATGGACCTTTTCCCAGAAGACTTTAAAAGTGTTTCCAGCTATCTCCGAGAAGTTTGCAGTGGGGATTTTGGAAGGGAGGTGAGGTGCTGGCAGGCTGAAACAGGGAGAATACAGGTTCCATTAAAAAAAAAACAAACCAAAAACAAACAAAACATAAAAAATAACCCAAAAAAACCCCAAAAAACAAACAAAAAAAAACCCCACTTGGAAATTACAAGCCAGTTAACTTCAGTTCCTGAAACAATGTCAAAGAGACCACAGAATAAGTAATGGGAAAATCATTTGCAGGCATGTAAGAAGAAAACACAAACACAAATACTGGCCAATGCAGATATGTCAAGGACAAATGGTTTCATGCTAATCTCATTTCCTTCCGTGATGGTGACAGGCCTTGTGGGGGAAGACAYAGTGTATTTAATATGATAAGGCTTCTAACACCTCCCTATAACCCGCAGCAGCTCCATCCCACAGCCTGTCYGGAGCAATCCCTGGATCCCTACCCATGGCTTTCTTCACCTGGGTCACTGTCCCATCTCTTGTGGGTTTAAATTTCAGTAATAACCCTGAGGACAGAGAACAGGGTATGTTTACACGGAGAGCACATGGAGGGGCTAAGGACAAAGACTGCAATGGAAATTGTTTCCAAGTGATATTGAGGATTTGGAGGAAAGAGCTGAAAAGTCAGATGTGGTRTGGAAAGGACAAGGACCTAGAATAACAAAGGGGAATGGCTTGGCAGTGCCAGAGGGCAGGGATGGATGGGATATTGGGAAGGAATTGCTGGCTGGGAGGGTGGGGAGGCCCTGGCACAGGGTGCCCAGAGCAGCTGTGGCTGCCCCTGGATCCCTGGCAGTGTCCAAGGCCAGGCTGGACATTGRGGCTGGGAGCAGCCTGGGACAGTGGAAGGTGTCCCTGACCATGATAAAGATGACTTTTAAGGCTCCTTTCAACCCAAACCATTCCATGATAAGATGCTATAATTTGAGGCCAGTGAAGACTGGTGAAAAGGGATGGCTGCTTTATACCTCTGGTACAGCATAGGAACCTTCTGGCCACTGTTTGACCCAACAATAATAGCAGAGAGCAGCACAGGGATGTGCATGCTCATGAGCCATGGCACATTCCAAGGAGTGCCCCTGCCTTCCAGCACTTCAACAAATTACTATGTCATTGAGGGTTTTCTTACATTTTACCACAGGAATCTCTCTTTCATCTCCTGGGAGGGAGTTAGCGGTGATTAAAGACCACAGCACTAACAAGTATTCATGAAAAACATATTTCTCAAGTGTTGTGCGGGAAACACGCCATTATTAAAATTTGAAATCGTACACTATTAACAATAACTATTACCTTAACACAATGGGCTCAAAGTTTTCTCAGCATTGAAGGAATAAAGAACTAGTTGTTCTTTTCTGTGATTGTAAAGTAGTGTGATATTTATTAAATTCTCAGAGGGGAATAGAAGTTAATTATGTTCAGCATTGTTAGAATTTTAATATAAAATAACCCTGTAATTGCTTGATTTCATCAAAATAATTCCCTCAAAGCAGCTTTTACACCAACCTATAAACATCTGCTCCCCCAGATGGCTGGTTTTCTTCCTCACTTTGCTATCCTAAGCTTCTTAACATTAAAACTGTGCCTGGATGTGGGTACTTCCCAAAGACAGAATCTCCCCAGTTATGTATTCATTTTATGGCTGCAGCACAAAGTTACTGGGAAAACAACATTCCCCAAATGGATGCTTCTGATGTTACCACAAGAAAGAGGGTATGATAAGTGTTTTATGCAAATTTTAAGACATTGCAGGTTTCTTTCAAGCTACCAATGACAAACATGCCCTCAGGCTAGCACTATCTTCTCAGACAAGGGATAGCCCTCCCTGAAAATTAATTCCAGCAGGACTCCAGTGGTCCAAGTCTTGTCCCCTCTGTCACCTTGTGACAAAAGGATGTCACCTTGTGACAAAGGACTCCTTCTTGCTTAACATCACTACTGAGAAGCTGTTATACCTGCACCCTCAGGCTATAGCAACCAGTCCACAGGGCTGCTAAAAATGCTGCCTTTTAGTACTCTGGAATAATGTATGACAGTGTAGGCACTCCTATACTTCAGGTTTGGGAATCCGTACCTGCCTGAGTGGAGTGCCTTGCTTGGAGTTTAAGGAAATACAAACAAGTTCATATTAGGTTCCAGAAAGGCATTTAAAAGAGTTGTAAATCCACAGGCAAAGAGAAACAGAAAATCATGTCTATATCCACCTGCTACTGGATTGACTTGCCAAGACTCCTGGGTGTACCCTAGAGTAATTATCTCCAAAGTGGGAGAAGTGTGAGAGCAGAGTATGTTTCGTACATTAACAAATAACATTAGAAAGTAAAAAATAGCATTTATTTCATGTTTACCTCACCCTTTTTAATTTCTATTTGTGCATATATTTTATAACATACACAATATACCAGCACAGTATATTATTATGTATTTATATAGTTTATAAATAAACATATTGGGGTGGCTGTTTAAAAGTTTTTATAGCTAAAGGTGTGAGAATTGGAGACCATTGCCCCAGAGGACAGGCTGTGACACAATTATAGACTCCTGCTTGTGGATTTTCACTAAGTGCTGCTCTCCTGATCAGCAAGTCCTGCTTCCAGATCTCTGCCTGGACCAGCATGGTTTAGGAGGAAGAGTTACATCTAACAGCCAGAGAAAAACAGACTTGAGGCTACTTCAACAAGACAAATACATGCAGATTGAGATATCAGAAGTTATCAGTCTAACCAGAATCAATCCCCATAGCAGAGACTTCCTTTTTCACTTGAATAGGAGACTTTAAAATACAACTAAGCACATTCATGAAGATAGAT